ACCCTTGACCAAATATTGGAGTTGGCTGAAGAACAGGGAGCTGAAATTATCGTTCTACAGGAAACTAAATTGAGAGAGAATTCTCAACTAAAAATTAAGGGATACAACATCATCCGTTTAGACAGACATGAGAAAGGAGGCGGTGGCCTCGTTTTCCTTAGTAGAGATATTAACTATATTTCCAAAAGCTATACTGCACCCACTGGTTCAGATTTAGAGTTGCAAGAAATCACTGTTATGTGAAGAGGTGAACCACTAGACATCTTTAATTTATATCACCCTCCCAACATTGGTAATATGCCTGGAGTCTTTGATAATCTTTTATCTGGAAATACTCTACATCTAGGCGACTTAAATGCTAAGCATCCAGCGTGGGGATGTTCTTCCCAGATTCAGAGAGGAATTGATCTTCATTCTATAGATTACTCAGGTTTCATGATCCTTAATGATGGTACTCCAACGTACTCTTCATACAGCTATAACACGTCTGAAGCCCTTCATTTGTCCATAGTAAGTCACACTATCTTTCCAATTTGCACCTGGACAGTTATGAAGAACATTGGGAGTGACCATTCTCCAATTTTAATTGAAATTAGACGCACTGGGGCAAATGGTGTAGCACCAGGGTGCCTGGTCAAGGACCCTACCCCTTGTATAACAGATGTGTTATTTCGAATACTGTCATGAGTAACTAGTATATATTTAGAATTTATATATATATATATAATTAAATCATGTTTTTAACATTTTTTAAAATTATAAAAATAGAAATAAGACAAGAGATAAATTATAAGATAAATTTATTAAAAGACTAAAGTGTGCGTCAGGTTTCAATAGACCTGAATGAGCTGGCTAAAGCCTGATGCAGAAAAAAACATCCGTATAAATAATAGGCAAAGTAGTGTGAGTTTCTTGGTTCACTAGTAATAATTAAACCTTAAATCTATAACACAATATTAAGAGGCACATATTAGATTCATTAAGTTATACAATATGGGTACTAAGTATGGCCATACGCCGTTTACTATTATCTGGGTCATTAAAGTCGTAATCGTAAATCCTTATAACTGGATTGTTGATATTAACAAGATTGGCATAAAAGTTCCAGGCGAGCCGGCAGTAAAAACACTTGAGTTGTTCTATACCCAATTCTTCATGTAACTTTTGATTTCGAACGTACCAGGGCGAATTGGTAATCTGTCTTAGGACACAATTTTGTGCCTTTTGCAATTTTTTTCTACAAGAATTGCATGAATATGGCCAGACCGGGCAGGCATAGCATAGTATGGGACGCAATATGGTTTTATAAATAAGCAACTTGTTGTCTATTGAAAGTACACTGTTTCGAGAAATTAAGGGGGTGAAGTGTGACTTCACTAACTCAAAACTTAATAAGGATAGATATTATGTGTGGGTTTAATGATAGAGTTTTACTGAGGATTACCCCAAGATAAAGGACTTGCTTGGCCCATGGGATGACTTCGCTTTAATTGAAATAAAGAAGAAACAGTGTACTTTCTTCAATCGTAAAAAATATTGGAATTTTGTTAAGGAAGACTGGAAGGCCTTTAGTGATCTCGTTGACACACTGGCTGAACCTGGCATTCACTCAAGTGACCTTGATACTAACTGATTACTTTCAAGCACATGCTCTTCAAGGCAGCTAAAAGAAATATACCTAGAGGAAAGGTAAAGATCTTTAATCCCTACTTTACTCATAATTCGCCCGCTTTGCTCCGGATGAGAGAGAACCTGCGATTCGAATTGAAAAACAATAATACAGAGCAAAACAGGACTGAGATGAACAAAGTCAATGCAGAAACGAATTTATGTGCTGCTCAAGAGGAAAAAGTGGATGGATACATGTGAGAGACTTGATGCTAGATCATCTGACACGAAAAAATTGATAAAAAATATTAGCACTGAACAACCTCAGATAAAGAGATGTAATACTATTTTAGATACGAATGGCATAGGGATTATGGATGACAAATCTGCGGCTGATCTCCTCGGGGCACATTACCAGAAGATAAGTGAGCTGACTTTTTACAGAAGATGCTAAGAAGGTGGCAAGAAGGCCTAGAGATCTTGCACATGGATGTCGTAGTGCTGTCTCGGGCAATCCCCTTTTCTTTAAATCCTTCTCCATGCATGAATTGGAGATGGCACTCAAACTTGAATTGACCAAAACTCCTGGACCTGATGGCATCCATGGCCAGATGATTGGGCATTTATGCAAGACAAAAATTTCTGAATATAGTGAATCAATCTTGGACGCCTTCCTAAAGAGTGGAAAAGAGCCACAATCATACCTTTTGAGAAAGCTGGCCAAACCGATGGATCTTCTGGAAGCTTCAGCCCCATTGCCCTAACGAGCAATGCATGTAAATCCTACCAAAAGAACAATACGGTTTCAGAAGAGGTCATAGCACCACTAAGCAATTGGTTTATCTCAGCCAGAAGATTATATATGCCCAAAACAAGCGACCTACCAATCATACTGTGGCTGCTTCTAGATTTATCAAAGGCATTTGACAGTATCTGGAAACATAAACTAATTATTAAACTCTATAAAGACTTTGGCATCAGGGGTAAAGCCCTGACCTAGATCTCAGATTTCTTGAGAAATAGACTGATAAAAGTAAAGCTTAATTCCACTATGTCAAACACCTTTAAATTGAGCCAAGGCGTCCCCCAGAGTTCTGTGTTGAGCCCAATTCTTTTCTGTCTGGATTTGGCTGAAATTGAGAAGATTATATAAAGGAGATGTGAGGTTCGGCTATTTGCGGATGATATCGCCCTTTGGAGCTCTGGCCCAGATGTGAGTTCAACTAAAACCATATAAAGACAAAAAAAAAGTGTGGAAATTCTCGAAAGACCCCAAATGAATTTCCAACTAAATTATCGTTTTTACCATCAATAGAATTATAATATATCATCAAAAGTTTTATGAATAACTGCCTCTTAGATGAAACATCCCCAAATATTTGGGCTTCGTTCTCGATCCAGAGATCACTAGTAACAAACATACGGATGCACTGGTTTTTAGGGGCAGAAACTAGTTTTGTGAAACAACTAGTTTTGTGAAACAAAGCTTGTTTCAAATAAATTACAGCAGAGCTGTTGATTGGAATAACTGTATGAAACAGTTATGCGTTAATTCCTTTTCTATCTCCTCCTGACTGTTCAAATTGATGGACGCTATAAAATTGTGAAAATTGACGAAGTAGAAGTTAAGAGAATGTTCCGATCGTTTCATCTACTAGTGAGCCGTTTCATCTACTAGTTTATCCTCATCTATCCGTTTCATCTACTAGTGAGCCAAATACGAGAGGAAAGAAATAATCCAAAATGCGCCAATATTGTTCCAAAAATGGGTGATATATCTTTAACAGGAAAGTACTAAAATTGAATTTTATAAACTAAATGTCTTTGGAGATACAGCAGTTAGATACATTATTAAAAATAAAATAAGGATTTCAATTATTAAGAAGCTCTTTTTTTTTTTTGCTTTTAAATCGCTCAGTTTATCGAAGAATTAGAGATTTATTAAATTTAAAAGATAAATCAAAGATTGTATGCTTTGCCGAATAATAACACTCTGGGATATGGCTATTATATTTCACCAAACGACAACACTTGCCTGTGCGTGACTCTCGCCTGCATGATAAATACACAGCTAACAAAACATAACCGTCCATAATTTTTGAAAATATTTTTCTATAGGTTTTTCTAACGTCGATACACACGTTTAGAACGCGGGAAAAGTAACAAAATATGTTAAACAACATCTAAATTATCTAAATTAGAATTTTTTTTCTGGACCTAATGGCATCCAAGTTAAAATGAGGCTCTTTCCTAATTTCAATCGGTGAAGTCCACCAGACCATTGAAAAATAGATATGACGGCAGACTTACAATTTGAACATTTCGTTAAGATATGGTGAGCAGCCAGCTGAGCAACACAATTGCTACATGATCAGTCGTTCTCATTCTTTCATCAGTAGATGCTCATGAGTGAATCTAGAGCAGGTTTTCTCCACCAAGGGAAATTTCATAGATTCAGAGAAAATGCGGTCAGCCTTTTAGTATTTACTTGTTGAATGTTTAGTTTTATTTTATGAACATAAAAAACTACTTTTATAAAGGTTTGGTATTTGTCATATTTTATTTTGGTATTTTATATATTTTTTCTTGTTTAATTTATACAACAGGTTGAAAAATAATTTAAATTTAAAGAAATGTACATGTAATTTTTGATATTAAAAAGGGGGTGTGTGATTGTCTAGCAGCGGTGGGAGGGATTGCATGGAGCAAAAAGGTTGAGAATCACTGCTTTAGATTATCTGATTCTTACACAGCCAAGTTAAAGAACCTTCTTGTGATTTTTATTCAATTTATAGTTTTACGCTCAACAGTTGTATGAGATTTATATTAACTCCCAAAATATCCAAAGAATTATTAACTTAATTGGCTAAGTAACTATAGAAGAAATATAGCTATTTTAAACTGAATGAAAACACAAGAGATAAGCTATTTTAAATTCATGTAAACTATAAGAAATTTAATAACTATTTAAATTCTATATCAAAGAAATTGTTAACTTTCCGTTTATCTAACCATTTTAACATAGTGCTGAATTACAAAGTGCACAGTGTGATACGTAATGCAAAAATATAACGTAGTGCATTTTACCTCTCGCTGCTCAACTGACCACCTAACACGACACTGTTCACAACTTATCTGAGAAATGAGACTCATTCTTTATCTCTTGTTCCGTTTCTGCGAATTGAATTTAGAAGCATTGTTCAGAATACAAGTAATGAAATTTATTTCTCTCGGTAGTAAAACTGGAGTTTTTTCACATTCTATTTATAAAAACTGAAACATTACCCCATAGATACCGCCTGAGCTATTGTGTATATGTTTGGATTAGAGAGAAACGAAGTTTAAGCTATGCTTGGTATTTAGTTTTATAAAATTTGATATAGCTCACTCACCTGGACTCTGTATAAAAGATTTCGATTTTGTATTTCGAGATGCCTTTGCTTTTCTTCCATTACAGGTATCCTTGATGCGTCTTTTTTGAGACAACGCAGGTAAGCAACTGATGCCCTTAGTATAGTTCCTTTGTTTCGGCGTAGGTCACGGACTAACTCGAAATACCTGAAGCAAGCAAGAAAATTAAATTTAATAGTAGAAAATAATTGTGCTGTCTAGGAAAAGTAGAATTGTATCGTTTTCTGAGAATCATTTTTTTCTTGAAATTACGAAATTCAGCATTTTCTAAATATATTAATTTAACCCTTTGAAATTGAGACATTTTTTCGCTTGGGACAACTAGCAACTCGAGACGATTTTTCTGCATATTTTGGTGAATTCCTTACACTTAACACGATTCCACACACAAGCTATTTGTTTTTTTATGTCTGAAGATACTTTCGGTCCTGCGGCTGTTTCGCCGGATACAAACGGCATTCTTTGCGGCATTTCTCCGGATTCTGTGCATGTTATCCGTTCTGAATTTTCTGTCCGTTCTGCGGAATCACTTCAGTACCACGAAGGAAAGCAAATACAAAAAATATATTTATTGTACGTGAACAGTCGGGCATGAAAACAGAATGATTAAATTTGTAAGCAGTTTGGACGTTTACAGGGCTACAAAATTAGTAGAAACAGCAGCCACTCCTGGCAGCTAAAACGGCCTTTACCCGGTTAGGCAGGGTGTCGAACTGGGCTTGGATGACAGAAACGGGTAATTCATTCCGTCCTGCTTCAAATCTATGCTACACTTCATCAATCGTATTAGCTGGAGAGAGGTGGCGAGCCAATCTCTCAGCAACCCATGACCAGATGTTTTCATTGGGTGACAGATCTGGAGACCGTGCAGGCTAGGGCAGCAGTCGAGAACCCTGTTTATCGAGGAAGGTCAGAAGACGACGTGCAACATGGCCTCGATAATAGGGCACAACCACTGGACGTAAGATGTAAGAAATATACCAATATGCGTTCAAATTACCGTCGATCCGAACTATAGATTTGCGTGTCGTGTACCCAATGGCTGCCCAAACCATCACACCAGGTGCAGGGCCCCTATGCCGATATCGAATGCAAGCAGGCGACGTGCGATTTTGTTAAAGCCTCCCGACACGTATAAGGCCATCAAAATACTGCACGCAGAACCGGGACGAAACTGTGCCATTCCTGTACCCAGCTCTGTCGTTCGGCGCACCAGAGTCGCCGTCTCTTTCTATGTGGAATTGTCAAGGAAAACCGAAGTAATGGTAACGTGCTGATAGTCCACGCTGCTGCAAACGTTGATGCACCGTACGAGCGGATACTGGGCGTGCTGCAAACATGCGCACTTCTTGGCTAATGGTCCGTGATGTGGTCGTATGTTTTTGCGTTGCTGACCTCACAATATGTCTGTCCTTTCGGGCGTTAATCATAGAAGGGCGTCGCGATCCTGCATGCCGCTCAGTATAATCCTCAACAAACCCATTAATTCCATATTCGCATGACAATGGTTGGATGTTGACCAGTGCGACGGGCGATATCACGGAACGATAATCCACACTCTCGATAGGCAACGATCCTGTTTCTATCGCATTTCGACAGTTGCTGGAAGCATTTTTTCTTGTTATTCGAAACATAATACGATGTTCTGAACAAACTCCGAAAAAACCTCTCCCTTCTGCATCGTCTAAATGGGCTGAAATACTAATCGTTTGCATATCCCAAACTCTTCTTCTTTTCACGTGATTTTAACGTTCGTCAGATCATCCCTTCCTGGTGCTGGAATTTTAATGACCAGCAGTGTATTACCCTGATTTCTTCCCTCCTTACACATCTTACTTCACCGTTATCTTCCTCACTTATTTCTCCATCGTCGAATAGTCTATGCATAGACATAATTTCGTTTTTCATCAACCAAAAATCGAAGTCATCTCCCTGCCCTGGTCCCTTATCGTATTCCATGTTTATTGGACTCCGTAACTTTGGAAATAATATTCATATTGTCACGACTGTCGAGTTCGAACTAACGCCGAAAACGCTATATGTATCTAAAATCGTTTACTATTGTCCAGGTTTTATACGCTTATTAGAATGCACTCATGAAGCGGTAGTGCCTAAACAAAACCTAAATAAATGCTGTTAACGTGTCAGGACTTGTGTTTCTCTTTATTTGGAACATGGAAACGTTGGAAACATGAATGATCCTGAATAGGAACAGGGAGCTTACTCAGCTATGTTCAAAAGGTGTGAAGTAACAACACACAGGAAGGGTATACGAAACCCTTTTTTTTCAATACTTTACCGGTATTTCCGAACTTCGGAATACAGATACCAACCACTTGTGGTCTGAACGTAAGAATATAAAATCTACTAACTAAAATAACTAAAGCTAACTTTGAATTCAATGCCTAGCACTAGATTGGCCTTATTTAAAAACCGTATGTAGTACGAGCTGCTAAAACTACGATACGTCTTAAACTATCAAGAGGGCAAACTCTGGCCTTAAAAAACCAGCAACCGAGTGAAAACTCGTACTACAGTGGCAACGCGCTTTTTCCTAAAACTCCTTCTCTCTTTCGCTTGGAAAAGCCACATTTAGTACTTGGCGTTAGCAAGACAATTTGCAAAACAGTTATAAGCTTTAATTCTGGCCGGAAGTAGAAAATAAGAAGTGATAGTACAGTTTTACACTAAAATAAACGTTAGTAAAACTTAGGATCCTTACAACCGCTCAAATTATCGCGTCACACTGAATGGTAATCGAGAGTCGCCTCTCGAGTTACTGCATTAAATCAAATAGTGACCGAAAGTCATCTCTCGAGTGCAAAAAGTTAATAATGTCCGTAAATTAATAACGGGAAGCAAAAGTTCCTTAGGCTTAAACAGTTTACTAAGATATATATAGTATATATAACTGACGAATTTAAGATTAAAAGAAGCGATTCAACAGAGAATAGAACATTAAACGTTTGAAATTCAGCTATTAGTAAAGTTTTAATTGGAAGAAATTATTTTTTTATAGAAGAATAGCTATACAGATGGAGGACAAAATAATGAGAACACCTGTAAAAACGTATGACGTATTTCACACATGCAGTACAGCAGCGCCACCTGTAACAGAAGTGTGCCACCTTGTGAGCGTGAAGAGAAAGGTATCGGTCTCTCAACAGCAGTCACCTGCGTTGCATATTTCGATCGAACTGTCTGTGAGAAGTTGAAATGTCAGACCTGTCAGAGTTCCAAAGAGGAATGATAGTGGGCGCGTTTAAGTGGCGATCTGTTACGGAACAGCCAAACCTTGCAAGGAGTATGGTTCAACAGTTATAGATATACACAAAGAGGGTAAGACGACGTCTTCAAAGCACAACAGTGGGCAAAAGTCAAAGCTGGCTGATAGGGATAAACGGGTCTTGAAGCCTATAGTAGCTCGAAAGCACAAGCAATCGTTATCCGAGATAGCATCCGAAATGAACAGTCATCTCCAGGACCCCGTTTCAACGAAAACTGTCAAAAGGGAACTTTCTGCTACGAACATTTATGGCAGAGGGGCAATTAGTAGACCCTTGGTGACAACAACTAATGCTTTCAAGCGACGTCAATGGTGCAGAGATCACAAAGGCTGACCCCCACAGCAGTGGCAAAAGGTAATATGGCCAGATAAATCGTCATTCACCCTATTTCAGACGACTGCATGCGTTTATGTCTGGAGAACACCCAAAGAAGAGTTTGACTGCCTCTTGCCGACTGTGAAGCATGGGGGGGGGCTACTATTGTGGTATGGAGTGCGATATCATGGCACAGTCTTGAGCCATTTATTATTCCGCATGGGAAGATCATATCCAATCACTATCTAAGCATTCTAGGATATCATGTCTATCCTTTTGTCCAGACTGTATTCCCTGGGGAGCGACCCCTTTTTTTCAAGATGACAACACCCCTAGCCACACTGCTAGATGCATTCAAGAATGGTTCGAATAGGAAGACGATGCAATGGAACATCTCGCTGGCCCCTCTCAATCTCCGACTCGAATATTATTGAACATTTATGGGCATATTTGGAGTCCAAACTTTGTTCCCGATTTCCACCTCCGTCCAGACTTTCGGAATTAGAGACCGCTCTGCAGGATGAATGGCTTAATATTCCTTTAAATATTGTCCATGACCTTTAAGCATCTATCCCACGTCGCATTCAATTTGTACTTCAGTCAAATGGTGATCCAACCCTCTATTAATAAAGATTTTCCATTATTTCACATGTGTTCGTATTATTTTGTCCTCCATCTGTATGTCTGTTTGGACAGAGATACCTTCATCTTAGACTTTTTAATCAAAACTGACCCGTACTGACGTCGTTACACATTAAAAGCACAGTTAAAGTACCGTTCAGCTATCCCTTTTCTCTCGGAATGTTTTCGCAATGGTGCTAGAACCTTTATACAAGCTGGTTCCTGTTCTCGAAGACAAACATGTATACAAATTCCCCGTCGCCAGCATCGTTATGAACATCAGTTTTGAATCAGAAAAAAGCAACCTTCATGAGCGTAGAGGCATACTGAGGGACAGATGTGCAAGTAGGGTTTTCGTTTCAATCAGAGTAGAAAACTAAGACTTAACTTTGCATAGCGGGGCATAAAGTTCCCATACCCTTCTCTCTTCAAGTTCAAAGCTGATCTTCATGAATGAGCTGGTACCTTTATGCTGGGTAGCTTTGTGAGAGGTTTAGTTTTTGTTTTAGAAAGCAGTGCCCGATTTTCATAAAGGTGCTGGGCATCTTTATGAAGCGGAAGTGAGGGAAGCCATACTTTATCTCACTGGGAATCAAACCAGAAAGCTATTACAAGTTTTCTGAAGCTTATTGTTCTACGTTATTGGCCTAACAAAATAAATGCTATGAAATGATGACAAAAATATTTTAATTAAAGCAAGATTCCAGTAACACAACATAATAAAGACATAAATGCATAGAAAATTTTTTAATAGAGCAAGGTTCAAATAAAGTAAACTCTAAATTCTTTTGTAGGAAATACGTTGATGCTTACTTAAACATTTATCTATCGAAAGAAGATAATAAACAAGATTTACTTACGGGTCATCATGTCGAGGTAATAATGTTCCGAGTTCTTTTATTCTATCATTTATGTTGAATCTTCTTCGCCGTTCAACTGAGAAAATGTAAATACAGACATCAGAAGTCTTTTACTAAAATATGACCCATATGATACAGCAAGATTAATTATAAATAAATGAAAAGCCAGACCATTCATTCAGAAATCAGTTGCAAAGGAGATGGAAGTAATCAGTGATTTTAAATATTTAGCCACTAGTGAGTTTTTATATACGGTACCGTTAAATAAATAATGGAATATTTATACAGACGCTCCCAATTTTATAGACTTTCGCAGATATAAACAAAATTGTTCTCAAAGAGTAAAATTTGTTTGGAGTCGAAAACAAAATAAACGGTTGCGCATTAAGGCTCGCAAGCGCTATCATGTTATTTACGACGGGAGAAAAAGAAAACTTTTCAGACAAGCTTAGAAATTTATTTTCTAAAGTAAGACACTTCAGAAATCGGTGTAGCTGGCTCATTTAATACACCTCCTTTCACCTCTCATGGTGCTTCTTCACCACAAATGTCTTTTTTACTTGCTGATTGAGACTTCAGAGAACGAGTTAGACGTTGACTCACCCTCACCCTATAAAGATCCTACATACTGTAACCATCATCCATTTACACATGCCGCAAAACTATAATCCAAGATACGGTTTAATAGTAAAGTAATTTTTTTATTTATAATTATTTTTTATCCATTTAAAATGCATTATTTATTTGTTTTAGTATTTTTATAGTTTAACTGATAGTACTTAAGCTATTATATCACTAACATTCGTTAGAAGTTATACGCAGCGAACCTAGTAACATTTTACGAAGAAATTCATCATACGAAAGTCGTTCGTAAGGTGCGGAGCGTCTCTATTTTGAACTTAAAAAGAACTAATTAATAATGAATCTCTTTAATTATATGTATATAACCAGTATATGTACATACACATTATTATACACTGAATAAGCACAGGAAACTATTTAAAGGATTTTTGAAATATAATAAATGTTTTGAAATATAGTCTAATGATCATATAGCAATAAGAAATAAGTTGCATTGTTTCACACTGTGAACTATTAGTTCAGCACATGCAGATGTTTAAGGTTGCCTTCTGCCAACAGATTAAAACATCATAGACCATGGCTATGTTTCGAGCGGATTAAAATATATCTCTTTCTTTTAATTAACTTAAAAAGATTATATTTTGTAGGATTATAATCACATTTATTTTCCTATACTTTATAATTGATTTTATTCATAAAGTATCAATCTTTTAAACTTTTTTTTCATTAGTTTTAATCAAATAAATATTTGTAAATTTTAGCTTACAAAGTATATTATAAGTTTTAGGCTAGCGGATAACTAAAAGATCATAACTAAGGACTAACTAAAGACTACAAGAACAACAATCATAACTAAAGATTACAAGTTTCCCTGTGTTGCGCACAATGGACTTGAGGTACAAGGAAATGCAGAAGAATCGATCGAAGTAAAAGATCCGAAGGAATGAATATACGAACTGGCGTACATACAAGATCGCTTTAGCAAAGAAATGGTAAAGACAAAGGAAGCTAAAGCTGCATTGATCATAGAAATGAGAAGGGCAAAAGACGGAAACAGAATTAAGATCTCATACTATATCGCTAGAAAGATTACCATTACCACTTCACCACTATCAAGCCTGGTTGCAAAGATCTTATCAGCAAGCTCATAGGGGGTTGTTCTGGAGTGTTTAGTGACGACAGTTGAATGTGTCGGGCCATAGTGAGGACCATGTCTAGCAAGTAACTGTAGGGGTGTCATACTGTGATTTGCACCAATCTTAGTTGCTTCAATAGTTATATAGCTTATTGCTTCAAGTAGGAATGCTTTATTTCAAGATAACTCCTGCCTTCATACTGCCCGTTTTTTGCCAACAGTTTTTCAGCTACCCTGGTCTGCAGGCTCTAGACCAAGCCAAATGTACTGCAGATGTAATACAGATATGCAAATGATAGTCCAAAATGTAGAATTTTTTCCAGCTAAGCATCTTTGCAGCTAAATAAGTCATTCTTTCCAAACGCACCCTTTTGCAATAACTGCAGTTGAACTACGTCTATAAGTTTAGAGAACAAAGAATAGCATTTCAGAAGCATATTCAGCAGCTGTAAAAAACGTATGCAAAAGCATGCGTAAAAGTTGAAGCCCTATAAAGATAATCTGCTATTCTAGGCACAGTACTCTTTGAAATCTTCGATACCCAAACTTAAATAAAAAATGTTCTACTTTTACTCCAGATAAATATTTTTGCTTAATTTAAAAGGAAAGTTTTAAATTAACATTTAATGTTTGATTATAGCTCAATTTACATTATCAGTTAGACACTTGCAACTTTATATCATGGAATTATAGGGTGATATTAGCGTCTTGTAAAATCTGAGCCTCTACGGTCTGGCCGGAAACTAGGGCTTGGACTGATTAAACCCGTGATAAAAATTGAATTATGCTACGTATTAGCTTGCCCACGATGAAAAAAGAGATGGTCATTTTCTTAAATTTAAAATTTAAGAAGAGTTGGTCATCTTTTCAACGAAACTGAAATTATTTCACGCTAATTTCAAAATAGTCGTCCTATGCATTCATACTGCTCTTCATAAAGTCGGCGGCATACAGTAAAACTTTCAGTAGCATTTATTATGGCGTTCTAAACTCCTTTAGTCAGTTTTCGAAAGCGTGAGCTTTATAGTCAATATAGTACATATTCAGTCTATATATTACATATACAGTCTCTTTCGATGAGTTGTTCCATCAACTAGGATCTGAAGAGATGATTATCTTTAATTAAGATATAGTCCGAGAGTTACAGACGTAACATATAATATTGTTAAACTGCTATGACTTCTCCCCACCCTAAGAGTACATTGTACAGTGTTTAATACTAGTTCCGAAGATTTCCTATGGATATGCACTTTTATGCACTTTTAAACAAAATTCCATATAGTTTATCCACATTATTACAGACATAGAACACTTTTATATAAAGGTTAGGTTAGGTTATTTAATTACGGCAAAGCCTCGAGGGCTATGTGCCTAAGGGAAGGGATGCCTTCGTAGAGGACTTTCTAAGGAAAACTGGCTCGTATACACCTTAAACATGGGGCAAACCACGAAAACACCCATGCAGCCAGCCCGTTCGCAGGAGTTGGACCTCGGACCGAACTAATAGTGTCCAGCGACTTTACCGCTTGGCCGCTGGTGAGCCCTTTTATATAAAGAATAATAAATATGGAATCTAAATTATAGTAAAATGCCGTATATATGTATAAATAATTTTTTAAGTATGTAAAATGCTAAAGTATAATAAATATTTCGAGAAAATTACAAAAGAAAAAACAGTTAATAACTTGGTAGTTAAATTCGATATATCTACATTTGTGCATTTCATTGGGAAAAAACTCTGAAAATTATGAAAAAAAAGATAATCTATACTTACTCATATTGTGATTGTCCTTTTTTTGTCTGTCCTTTGCTAAAGCATGTAGTGCTAGTGAATTGTTCGCTAAAAACACCTTTCTGATAGCGGTGCGTTCAGTTACTCCATTTAATGAATTTACAAATTTTCTTGTCTTGAATGGGAACTCTTCATTGGCCTATAAATACTCTTATATAATTAACTATGAAAGCATTTAATCTAACATATTATCATACAAAATTAAATAAAATGATGAAAAGTGCGCGGGATTTTCTCCATGCATTCTCGAAGTTGTTAAAGAATTTGGATTACTCCCCCAGGGGGCATAAAAGAAAGAAGGAAGCTTTCGAATTTTAATTTAAATTTACATTTAAACTTAATGAAGAATGGTATGAGAATACGTACAATAGTAATGATTTAATCTTTGCGTAAGTAATTTGGTTATAAGGTATTCCTCCCGCCTTCTTGACATGCCTTCATGGTGTAGTGGTCAACACGCTCAACGCATTTTCGAGAGGTCCGTGGTTCGAGTCTCGGTGAGGACATTGCTCATTTTTCATCTCTCCTGCTTTAAAAAATAACCTGATGTCTCTACACGGTAATGAACTTTAAGTTACGGGCAAAGAAAACAAGGCAATTTAATTAACAATTAATAAGACAATTTAATTAACATTAGGAAAAAAACATTCGCTGCTTGTTAATTACTGCAAGCGCTCTGACACAAGATTTTCTAACGAAAACAAACCCGCGCACTTTAACAAATCTTGGCACATAAATAACATATATGTATATGAGAACTATATACAAGGTGATTCTAAATTGATTTTACAAATTAAGAGGAGTGATAGTACTCATCCAGACAAGCAATAATTACCATAGAACATTGGGTCGCAGCATTCCACTCTGAGAGGCAGAAAAGAAGAATATTAGAATTCCAATTTTAACTTACAACAGTTTTGGGAAAGCGAATGAATGAGACCAAATGTTGCACCATCAGTTTAGTGACAAACTTACAGAGAGTGCACAACACGGATAAAACCGAAACCTTGGCGTTCGAGTGTTAATTCGAGCTCAGACTTTGATGGCAAACACTCAAATGCACATCTTTGTTGGCAAGGTTTCAACCTCACAAACGATTGAAACAAGTTAATTATCCAATCAAGGGCTGAATATTATCAACTAACTCCAACTTCTGTATGCCGAAATTAGCATGAAAAGTTCATGCTGTTCCGTCTGTCAGAACTCGAAGAACTTGTGTCCCATAGAAGGGCGCTTCAAGTAGAATAAGCGCAGTACAGTAAGTTCAGGAAGACAGGATAGAAGGTGGCAAAGGGAGAAAAAAACTGCTACCTTGATACTTGATATAAAAGTCGCAATTCCCCCCCCCCTCTAGTAATTTAGATAATTAACTTGTTGCAATCGATTGCGAGGTTGAGATCTTGCCAACCAAAGATGTGCATCTGAATGTTTGCCATTCAAGTCTGACCTCGAATGAACACTCGAATGTTAAGTTTTCGGTTTTATCAGTTTTGTGCACTCTCTGCGAGTTTTTCACTAAACTGATTGTGCAACTTTTGGTCTCGTTATTCGTTCTCCCAGCATTGTTTAAGTTCAGGTTGAAATTCTAATATTCCTCTTTTCTGCCTCTCAGAGTGGAATGCGACCATATGTTCTATGGTAATTATTGCTCATCTGGATGAGTACTATCACCCCTCTTAATTTGTAAAAACAATTTAGAATCATCCTGTATATAACTAATCAATATGTGAGATACGCGTAGGTAAGAAAGATATATATCTCTGTTGTCTCCAAAATACTTCACACGCATTAGGGAAAATATGAAAAAGGTATTAACGGCTGGTACTTTCTTGTAAATAAGATCTGACCAGTTTCTTGGAATGTAAAAGGCCTTTAGAATCTTCGAAAATAAAATAAATGTGAAAAACCATATTATCAGTAGAAATGCAGTATTTAGCGAAACGTTACAGCAGTAAGAAGAACAAAATAAGCTTCTGAATTTTGTTACCACATACTAGCGAAATGCACTTTGTTTTATACCCCCTGGGTGGTAGTCCAAATTTTTTAATAACTTCGAGAATGTATGCAGAAAACCCCGCGCACTTTTACGAATCTTGACACATAAATAACATACTTAAATTGTTAGTTAGAAGATTAAAAAACTACATCAAGCAGTGGTCTCAAATTCAAGATTAAAAAACTACATCAAGCAGTGGTCTCAAATTCTTGCTCAATGATGCCAATTGGAATTGGAATTACCATTTGAAGTGGTCTCAAATTCAGACTACATGTGGGCGAATGCACAATCTAAAACTAGCCGACAGGCCGATTTTTTTTTTTAAACCGAAATGAAACGTTTTCTTAATTAAACAAATTTCTTAAACTTACTTTTAAATTTTATTTACTAGATACTTTTCAAAATGTTCATAAACGGTAATAATGATGAAGCATAGGAAAAAATTCCAATTTATATTCACTTCTTTTCTGTTTGAAATCTAAAATCTGGGACCTGCACGAAATTTCTGTTGTTTATATTTTGTAATTAAAACGTATGGATAGCTAAGTATTAAATTTTCAGGCTGACATTTATTGTAAATAATTCTAATGTGTTGAATTAACCGCTAAATAACTTACTTAAACTTAAAAAAAAAAAAAAAAAAAAAAAAAAAAAAAAAAAAAAAATACGAAAATTTTTCAAAGGGACAAAAATCTGAGAATAAATAATGATAACCTTATACCTTTCTTCTATATATTACTCGTAAAATTTTTCTTTGACGTATACTTACATATATTTCAAAATAAAAGAAAGTATAAAATTTTTTATTTCTTACTACGGGTTTCAGCTACATCTTTTCATGGCGTTTCGATTACGATAAATTTGTAATTTGTTTAAACATTACTAGAAATCATCTTTATCATGAATTATAGATGCGCATTGATCAGCCTGGTTTTAAGACTTACTAGTTTTTCAACTGCGGGAGGGGGGGACTTAACATATAAACGCATTCCCCAAAAAAGAGATCATTATTAATGCAAAAATTCGCAGCTGATCTTTTGACAAGTACGAAGAAAGATTAATCAAATCTCAGTCTGAAGATCTTTGAATAAAATTTTTATCACAGTGTAAATTAATTAGCTCCATTTGTAGATTTTCTGAAGCGTTACTCACGTTCCTTTTTAATGGTAGCGAAAATAATGTAAAACTAGATTCAACATCATTAAAATCTTAAATCTTTCTTCAAATTCTTGCCATAATAAATTATGTGATAATAATGACAATTAATTTAAGGGAAAAGTATTCACGGGCCGCTTAAAATCGCTTTGGGTGCACGCACGCGGCCCGCGGGACACTAGTTTGAGATACCTGACACAAAGTATAACTTGTTATATACAGATGAATACATGCATCAGTAAGTAGTGAATATTCTTCAAAAGTTTCAGGCATTTTAATTAAGATTTTATGAAGACCTTAAAAATTCATTCCAAACTATTAATACAAAAATGTACATATATTGGAATAAAATTTCCGAGAGAGGATACTCTTCTACTGTTATTTTTTGAATACCAATACATAAAAAAATCACTCAAGTTCACATAATCAATATAAATATAAAAGCAAATACGACGCAGTTTCGAAAATCTTTCTTTTGCTATCAATAAATAACAAAATATAAAATAAATTTAAACTTATTAAAATACTGACATTTAAATATAATTCCAACCAGTAATTTTCGTTCTTTGATAAATTTATGCTAATCAATTCATAAACTCTAACAAGAAAGGATGAACTCAGATTTACAAACAGGAAAATTAAACCCGATATAAATTTATATCAGACTTACCGAATTTGATTCATTTGATAATGTTGTGGTAAAACTGGCGTCAGACTCCATCTTTAACTTCTTTGAGATTAAGAATTTCATCACAAGTATCTGAAAGTTGAATGCTGTGAGATGAAGTACACAAATCTATTGCTGATGAAAACAGTACTATGTAGGATTTATTTAATCATATCGACATGGGGCTTAAGGAATCAACATTATTCATAAGCATATTTACACTTCCGAATTTGGAAGCAAAGCATTTTCTTAATTGGTATTCAAGAATTAAAAACTCATTAAATTTCTTGGAGATAGATATAAGATATAAAAAACAGTTTTAGGGAACACGATAAAAGCAACTGAAATAGTAAATTATTTATTTTAGCGATATTTTCAGTCAGTAGCAAATTAGTGAAAGAGGGTGTAATTAATGCGTACATTTTAAGTTATTTAAAAAGAAAAGTAGAATTTGACTAACGTTTGGTACGAAGTGTTTTATACTTTTCGCATTTGAAACCGCAAATTGAGAAGAAAAGGTTTGGTTTATTTGATAATGGCAAGGCACTCGAGGGCTACGTGTCCAAGAGAAAGATGCCTTCCTAGAGGATCCTCCAAGGAAATCTACCTCATATATACTATATGTTACACATGTGGAAAACTAAGAAAACACTCATGCAGCCAACTCGTTCGTCGGCATTCGAACGCCGGACTGAACTACCAGTGTTCAGCGACTTCACTCGGCCGCTGGTGCATCCAGTGAGAAAAGAAACCTGAATCTTTTTCTTTCTTTTCAACTGGTATAGTATCATATACCAGGGATGTGAACTGTCATGTTAAGCCTAATTCCTTTTTTGTTTTCCTGGGAAATATCAAGCATATATCTGGAATTTTAGTCTCTCAACAATCAATTCTATCAAGCATCTCTGGACTGATATCAATATATTCACTAAAAGTCAAGAAACTTAAAATAAAATTGTCAGTCATTTCTATGATTATACACGTCGTATCTACAAAAGTCCTTAGCTGGCCTTTATTTTCACAACCGTTGGCCCTAGATATACACATTCAGTTATAAAAACGTTTTAAATGACTCAAATATTCATATTTTGGCATTTTTAAACTTAAAGAAATCTATTTTTTTATACATTCCTCCGGTCCCTATACTTAGGAAGATTTTGTACTAGTTATATAAAAAATGCGACACAAAAAATGTGACCCCTTTGCGAATTATTTAATCATCTTCTTTGGGTGGAGAATGGTTTAATTAAACCATCTATATTATAAAAGACCTTACAGAAGTACACTAATTTTAAAATTATTAAAACCAGTCCTAAACTATCAGTAAATTTACATAAACACTAGTTTGTTACATAAGCAATACTGTCTGAGCACTAACTATCTGAGGTTTATTTCGAAGAAAATAACACAGATTTACTATACTTAAGGGGCAATAGTATCTTATTTTGAAAGAATTTAATAGCTTAAGTAAAGGAAGAAGGAACTTTTTAGAGGACAGAATATATCTTGGGAGCTTAATCAATAGGAGGGGGTAATAAATAGAACTGGGATTATAAATCATAGAAGAAGAAAATGGGCCGCTAATATTTTTGCAAATATTTTTTTTGACAGGCGAATATTGTTTATGATATTGAAAGAAACTTCTCCAAAAGAGCTTTATTAATAACAAAATGAGAGACATCTGTGTTAAGCAAGAACTTTCAAACACTTTTAGGTCCGAGTATGAATGGATGTGACGAATAAACAAGTTAAGCACAGGATTAACATAAAAGCACGAAGAAGCGATTTGTTTCCCCATGCTGTAAGATTTGACATGGGAAAAAAGCGAACAGAAGATGATTTTGGATATATCGGTAGCACTAAAATTAGTTTATTGTATGTTATTGAGATGTCGAGAAAAAGAGATGACAGATACAATTTCAAGAGCGATTTAAGCGGTAGGTTTAAAGAAATTCATAATTGATAATATATTTATGAATTCATCTTCCCTCCCATTCTTAAAAAGTGCAAAATTATCAACAACTCATTTAACCAAAGTAACGAAACCGCTTTCTAAACAATTTGGTCTCTAAATAGCGCATACAAATGCCACCAGAACTAAAACTGAAGGCGTTCTTGTTTTGGAAAACATACTAAGGACAGGCCAAAAAACAAATAAAAACCAAAATCGGTTTTGTTTTGGAAAACAAAAGTGCCTCGCCGAAAGGAAAAGATAGTAAAAGAGGGAAATTCTTAAAATTTCAGTGTGATGAAAAAGAAATTCTTTGTTAACAAAATCTTTTACAGCTTCATCAGGGACGTTTAGTTATTTAACAGCAAGAATAACTACAAATTAAATCATAGAACGTTAGTAGACAACGATCTAACGACAGAAATGACCACAAATTATTCGTACGGAAAAGTTTTATTGACACATTTAAAAAAAAAAAAAAAAAAAAAAAAAAAAAAAAAAAAAAAAAAAAAAAAAAAAAAAAAAAAAAAAAAAAAAAAAAAAAAAAAAAAAAAAAAAAAAAAAAAAAAAACCCTTTGTCGTAAATTTTGGAGTATTGTACATGAAGCTGTCCTAAAGTTAGGAACAATGATGCAAATGATGCGGAATGCTTAATTTTGAATTATTTATTACGCAGTGGCAATGAATGACTATTTTACCTGCGAACTTTGAGACTGGTTAGTTAAATAGATTATTTATTATTTGATTACGGCAAAGCACGCCAGGGCTATCTGCCTAAGGTAAGGGATACCTTCGTAGAGGGCTTTCTAAGAAGGATTGGCTCATTCTATGTCCACATGGGAAAGCAACGAAAATACCTATGCAGCCAGCCCGTTCGCCTGGAACAGAACTAGATAAAATTTTTAGTGTTCATCGATTTCACTGCTAGGCCGCTGATGGCCTTTGGTTAAATGATTAAGGTAAATCACACGGAGAGATATTTCTGCCAAAGGGGAAAGATACTTTGCGGAACATGCCCTAAGAGAAACTTACATATATTCACATCATACATGCGGCTAGTCCCATGCAACCAGTTTGTTCACCAAGATTGTTTAGAGTTCGACATTTTTCCCCATTTGTTTATGGCAAAGCATGCTAGGAAAGAAATCTACCTGACGGAAGAGGTGCCTTGAGTAGAGGACTTTCTAAAAGGAAATTGGCCAAGAGAAAAAAAAAATCATTAACTCAGTCAACCGTTGGATATAAAACCTTTGAGACGATCTATCAATTTTTTGAGTTTATCAATTTTGAATTAATCACTCGATTTCCTCTGAGCTGTAAAGTTTAGGAAAGGCATAGTCTAACATCTTACGCAGCAATTTAAATTTACGGCTTTTTAGCTATTAAAGAGTTTCACTTTTATGCTAATATTAAAAATAATCTAGTGGGATTTTTCGGTTTTAAATGACTTAAGATTATATCAAATAGAATCTGCAAATGTGTTCATTTTGCATAAAATAATATCGATAGAATTATTAAAAAAATCAAAATGATGATTAAATTCGCTGTGTGATTAAAACTCCACGAGAATTCCACTTATAATAATACAACTATAAATAGCTCAAAACCAGACCTGCAGTTTAAAAGAAAATTTGCTGAAAATCATGCCCATAAACACGTTCTTGCTCAGGCATATTCATGCGACTTTTAGTTCAGATCCCGAGTGTCCACAGTGTTCACGTAGGAGTTAAAGTTTCTAATGTGCAGTTTATGAGGCTAATAAGAATAAATTACTATTTTAATTAACAAATAGTATGAGTGACAAATAACAAGGAAATAAAATTTCTCAAAAATGAAGCACATCGCTAAGCTGCATAGCTCAATGGGCGTCCACTTTCCTATAAATGTATTATTAGCATTCATTATCCATAAGTTGATGATAACGTAAACTATGTGAAAGTTTCAAGTAATGAATGTCAGCTCATGATCAGAAGGGAAAGTTTGTCCTGACTGAAGTGGCACAGGACGCTTAATCATATTTGGTACAGAAATCGATAATGGAAAATTTCGGAAAGGTCAAAAGGGGCAGAATTAGAAGCATTCACATTCGTTTCTGATGTGAACGCTTCGAGTATTAAGACAATTTAACAAAGCTCATAGACGCGATAAATGAGCACTAGCGTAATGCAACTTTGAAAAGCATATACAGCAGATCCTCCATTATCCGAGGTAATTAGGACCGCAATTCTCCTCAGATAATGGAAAGCTCGATTAATAGCGTCTAAATTTTATATTACTCCATTTTTGCTTTCAACAAGATTTTTTTGAAATTGTTTACTTGAAACTAAAAACAGGTGCATAAGTAAAAATATTAGCATTTTCAACTCTTTTAATTATCAGACAAAATTTGTTTCCTTCAATAACAAATAATTCATACAAGGTATTTTTTCGTGATAAAAATATTCGTGAGAAAACGGAAACAAACAAATTTCATCAAAATTTTACGCAAATTGAGAAATTCTGCCAAATTCTCCTTATATGCGTTTTCAAGAATTTTGTTTTTAAAAAAGAATTTTAACATTTTCTTTGTGATAGTCCTATAACTCTACCAAATACTCAACCATCATGCCATGTTTTCAATGAAAAAAGTTCCATAGGAGAAGCATCAGGATGTTGCTTTTAAGTACTGCAAAGGAGCTTCGCTCAAGGCTTTAGTGCAAAAAAATGTGTTGAATTTAGAGCCTGTTTTTTAGTTATTATTAGAGCCGTAATAGTTGAATTTCGAGCTTATCTTAAGTAGTTCGACCCTAGGTTCAAATCTCAGCGAATCGAGTTTTTGTAGTTTTCCCATGTATAATGTAAATGCGAGACAATTTTCCTTAAAAACTTCTTCATAAAGGCATTCCTTCTCACAGGCAGAGATGTCTCCCGTGCTTTGCCCTAATGAAAATAAAACAAAATTATATACGAATAAATGGTTAATTTTCACTTTGTCCGTTTTTCATATGTATCCTCAGCATCACTGCAACTTTTCTTGTACTTTTTTATCTGTGCTTAGAACGATTTCGTCGTCATTCAAACCTTGAAAATTTGGATCGATGTTTTCTGCATTTATTCGTTCCGAAACGCCACATTTTTAGCCTTTTAAGCATGCCTACGCATT